GTTAGCCTAGAGAATGTCTGGAACAAAGTTTTTCCAACAGTGCAACATGGCATATGCTTTTATCATATGAAGGGGAACATGAAACGCACTTGCAAGTTGAAAAAGCGAGATGAAATACTAATGCACTTTGAGCAGGCTGCGAAATCTTATTCGATTGCTGAATTTGATTGTCATTTTCGCAAGATCAAGAGGAAGGAACATGTTGCTCAACATCTTCAACAGGCAGGGTTACATAAGTGGTCTAGAGCTCACATGGATGGACATCGCTACAATGTAATGACGACAAATATTGCGGAGTCAATAAACTCAGTCCTTAGGTTTGCAAGGATGCTGCCAGTAGTTCATTTGATAGGGAAAATTATTAATCTTCTTGTGAAATGGTTCACCGAACGGCATGAGTTGGCTTTGAAATGCACAACAACATTGTGCCCCAATTTTGGCGAGAAGAAGTTGAGGAATAGGTTGGATGATGCTTCAAGGATGAATGTGGTTAAACTAAATAATGTACAGTATAATGTTGTGGATGGTGATATGGACGACCTGGTACATATGACGAACAACAGTTGTAGTTTCAGGAAGTTTCAGCTTGAGCAACTACCTTACAAGCATGTCGTTGCAGTTTGCCGCTTCTTGAACCAAGGCTTCTCGATATTACACTCGAAATACTTGGTTGAATGCTTATTCGAATAGCATCTACTCGGTATAGCCTCAGGGACTGTGGGTTATTCCTGAAGATGTCCGAAGTCGAGTTAAGCTACCTCCCATGGCGAAGGTCATGCCGGGCAGACGGAAGAAGCTGAGAATTCCCTCACAAGGAGAGGGCAGCCGTACAAGAAAGTGCTCAAGGTGTGGTTCCACGGGCCACAATAAAAGCACCTATCAAAAAAATATTCCACTGCGTAATGTATCTTAGACAATATGATTTGTGTTGGTTTGTTAGGTACTGTCAATTTCAATTTTATGTAAGGTGGATTTGGTGTTATGTGGAATGTTAAATTTGTTAAAAATGCATAATTCGGGTTGCATTGTAATAGAGCGTGGTGTGTTCCCTATTTATATTGACAGTATAGCTATCGTATTGTACCCTTATTGCTTTCAGATTGCTATTATATTGCACTTATATTGAACTTATATTGTACATATATTGATCTTATATTGTACTGGTATTGCTATTGCAATGTAAACTGTGTAAGTACGAAATAAAAGGGCCTGAAATGTAACTTCATCGGAAGGCACAATATTAAAGTCCTTACAATGCAATTATTATGCAATTACCGTGATACTCCTACTACACCTTCTTTTGTGATTACAAATTCAGACGATGCATGGGGCAAATGTGGGGCAAATACAAGGTGAAATGTCCTATGTGTTTGACTGGATATAGTTGGTGAAGAAGCATTATGACTGTTAACCCCAACAGATTCCTCATGTTTTGCCAAGAACACCCTTGAATTGATGCAATGTGCCCAAGCCAGTCCCAAAGCTGGACTCACTTGTTTGCCTAATGTATGCATCCACTCCAAGTTTCCCAACCTCACCCCATTGATTCCATGATGTGGCCCGATAAAATCCACCACTTGGTTGGTGACAACCACCGCCACCCCAAACTTATTTGCTAAAGCCTTCAATGTCCCTGATATCTTGAAAAACATTTCAGACCGCCGTTTCAAATCTGCCGGTGTTGCCTCATATTGTGATCGGAACAATGTAGCAATGGAATCAATAACAATGAGCTTGACAGGTAACCGGGTGTGATCAATGGCAATAAATGCTTGCATGCCTTCAAGGACATGGATGAGTTGTTCAGCATCATGAACGCCATGAACATATATGTCTTCCAATGCCTCCAACCGTATTAAGTTGGGGTATGATGCATGATAAAGTTTGGCTAGTTGTTGCAATCGACGAAATGAGAAGCTGAATTATGTGAATATGTAGAGGGAGGAGCCCCCTAGTTCGCCATGTGAGGGTGGGAGCTGAGCTCTTATCGTTAGTTGGAGACAAAGTTGCGTCCTCCTGGAACTGCTTTCCCCTACCAATTCTGTTATGGAGTTGCAGGGTATCCCACCGGCCAAGCAGCCATCAAGTATTGGGCATCCGATGGATATTTTAGGGGTTGAAAGAGGAAGTAGCATAAGGTTTTGTGGTGTCATGTTTCTATAATTTAGGGGGGATGTGATGGTGATGCTGGTGCAAGCCATGAATTGTATATATAGAGTCCATATTGAAGGTGTGTAATGTAGGCCATGTGTCCTTTCAGGGATGTATACTTCATCCAGTCCACCTGAAATATTAATATTTTTTTATTTTTTATTTTTTTGTTTTGTTTTAATTTTTGTTGTGTTTGTGGACCAAAAAATAAACAAAAAAGTCTGATGACGACCTAGTACAATATTATCCTATTGTAACTCTATTGTCCTCTTATTGTGACTTTATTGTACTCTTATTGATATTATATTGCCATTATCTGCATGTGTATTGTCCAGTTATTGCCGCTATAATCGTTTGAACTGGACAGGGATAAAGGAAACTGTATACGCACAAATACAAAAAGAGGCTTCATATTTCCATCACATCCAAGTCCAAAACATATATAATACAACAAGAGGCCACCTCATAGTTACATTATACAAAAAGAGGGCACCTCATAGTTCCATTCTACAGGTTGTTTCCACAACATTTTACAGTGTCCAAAGTCATATTAAAGTACCAAAAGTTTCCTGCTGTTCACACATTCGGAGTTGCATCCTCTTCAATTGCGGCGACCGCCACCCATGAAATTCATGACCCCGTCCACAGTGATGTTCTCCCAGTTTCGTTCTGGATCCACTATTTTTGCAAACTTGCGAATCCGGTTTCCACTATTTTTGCAAACTTGCGAATCCGGTTTCCACTTGTTTTTGCTTCAACTGGGCCATTTCGTTACATTCCTTGAATAACATAACTGCAGTGGCAGGGGCAATTTCAATTTTTGCTTTCATACCCTTTATATGTAGGAGATGCATACGGGCATGATAACGAGACCCCTTGATTGACAAGTATTATGTCAAATTAACAAGTATTATTCTGAAACAAAAAGTATGATATGGTTGGGAGCATATAAGTTAAAAATGATATATACAGGCTAATTGTCTTAGACTTTAGATATCATCTTCAAGAAAGAAAATAGATACCGATTAGACTTGTAAGAAGGTTAAATGCAATGGTACCCATAGTAAGCCACCAAATACCAATTAATAACTGCTACAAAAACCCAGATGAGACAGAGAGGTGGCTCACGACTCCTCATCCTCTTCAAACCTCTCTTCCTATTTCTTTTGTTTTCTCTCTTCTCGTTCTAAATCTTGAATGCAAACCAACCACATTAAATGCCAATCAAAACACACCTTTTCATTTGCCAAACACCTGAGACCAATATGGATGCAAGGCAGCGGTTTGGGTCTTGGGATTTGGTGGTTTTTGGGTTTCTAAGTATGACAGACAGAAATTGATTGAGGAGGAAGGAAATTTACATGAGATGGAGGTTGTGAGAGGTTGACAACAAAGGGGAAGATGGTTGAGAGAGGGATGATGATAGAGGGTTTGAGGGAAAGAGAGGGAGAGGGTTCTGGAATGGAATGAGAGCGCCAAATTTGAAAACTAGTGAAACAAAAAAACAGCAGCACCCGAAAAAAAATTGAAGGAAACAATCATACATCTATGATGCCTAATAACCGTCATGAAATCAATGACGCAAAACTCACGTTGTGAAAATAAAATTGTACGATGCGGGATAAACGTCCCAAAATCAATGACGCATAACAAATGTCATGGAAATAAAATTCTACCACACGGACTCAACGTCATTAAATTGATGAGGCTTATCAAATGTCATTAAACTACAAAATACTTAATGACATATCTCTAATGTCATCTAAAGATAACAAAATCCATCACACACAGACCACATCATTGAAAACTATTTCAATGACGTGTTTGTTTCACTGCCGTAGAAGGTATAGTCAAAATTGCTTTCAATGAAGCGAATTTAAAACAAGTCAGAAATAATATAATTCAATGATAGATATTTTAGACACCTCATTAAAAGTGTGTCATTGAAAGACATATTTGTTGTACTGGAACATGAATAAAACCATAATAAACTAGCACTAAAATGTCAATACAACATCACTAAATCAGCAATACACCAGCCAAAAAAAAAAAGCAATACAACATCAATAGCAACAACAAAACAACAGCAGTGCAAGCATCATTCCACAAACAACAAACCCATTCACTGTTTCAAACAAGGAATCATCCGAATCAGAAAATTTCAGAGAAACCCCTAAACCAATTTCATAGAAACCCCTAAACCCTATACCCAAAACCCCAAAACCAATTTAAGAGAAACCCCTAAACCCTATACCCATTTCAGAGAAACCCCTAAACCAATTTCAGAGAAACCCCTAAACCCTAAACCAATTTCTAACAAACCCATAAAACAATTTCATACAAACCCATAAACCCTAAACCGTAAGGAAATGTCGGTGAACAGTACCTGTTTGAGGTGAACGATGAAGTTGAGCTCCGTCTGAACAGATTCCGCTGGGAGAGGAAGAGGGAAGAGAGAAGAGAGTGAGAGCTTAGCGCCGAGAGATGAGAGAGTGAGAGCTGAGTGACGAGAGAGTGAAGAGAGTGTGAAGAGAGTGTGAGAGACGGAGCCAAGAGAGAGCTGATTGGCGGGAGGTGAATTTCAGAAAAAATGTTAGGTGAGCAATAAGTAGACAATAAATATATATTTATAGGTTGTGTTTACAAAAATTTTGGGGAGGGCTGATATTTCCACTTAAAACTAAAAAACCGGTGGCATTGAAGGCTATTTCCCTTAAATATATTTTTCCACCAGTATAGCCGGTCGGTACTCGTTGTTATTTTTAATGTTTTAAAATAAATAGTACGGCCATGCGGCTATACTATTTTTTTTTCCTTCTTAAAATGAATAATATAGCTGCCCCGCTATACTGGTTTTTACTTTTATTTCAGCGGTGCTTCTGAAGACGAGACCAGAGGAGGAATTGAATCCAGTTCGAATTGTGTGCCAATAAACCAGGTTAAGCTCCAACTGATTATTTATATAAATTCTAATTTCTTTTACATTTTCTGCATACATATGTTTGGCAGATGCTAGCTACTGACTCTGTATCTGGTATGTTGGGTTTTCAAATCTAGGACAGTATATCTGTAAATTGTAGTATACAGAGTGATCAATACAAATCATAATTTCTCTCTGAATTGAATTCTTTCTTCTTCTTCCTCTTTCTTCATTTACTCTAGGAGTTAAAAAGTTTAGTTGATTCTTGGGTCTTTTCGACGAACTCGAGGAATATGATTGAAACAGGGGACAAATTACATATGTTGGCGGTGAATGGTTTTCAGCTTGGGAGCTATATTTACATACTTGTACATTCACTAGAGGAGTAGCACTGGCAGTGTGTCTTCTACTTCTATGATAGTTTTAAACCTCCTCCACGATTTGATTAATGGTTCTTGTGATGAAATTTTCTTTTCTTCAAGACCATATTATGTGAGTGGATACGTATTGGCATTGCATTTTCAGCTGCTACGTACTAAATATCCAACAACCGTCATTTATACTTGTGATCATGACCTCATTGTACACTTAATACCACTCTCTTTCTAGATCGAGTATTTATATTTGGTTCACATGCCAGTGCCAAGCCTTGAAGATAATGATGAAATGAAAGCTACTGGGATTACTCTCATTGTCCGTCCTTGGAACGATCTCCACTCCAGTGAATTTCCACAAACCAGAAACTAAGGAGGAGGTTCCAGCAGCGACAATGAGCATACACACAACCTTTACATCTTTCCCTTCTTCATCTTCTCAATGGAAATATGATGTCTTTCTGAGTTTTAGAGGTGATGACACTCGCAAGGGTTTTACAGACCACTTATACACTGCATTGGAACATCAAGGAATTAGAATTTTCAGGGAGGACCTTGAACTTCAAAAGGGGATGGCTATTTCTCCAGAGCTTTTGACTGCAATTGAAGAGTTGAGGTTTGCACTCATTGTTCTTTCACGAAATTATGTGTCATCAACATGGTGCCTAGATGAACTTGTAAAGATTCTTGAATGCATGGAAGAAACAAAAACAGTGCTGCCAATTTTCTATGATGTTGATCCCTCTGATGTCCGAAAACAAACAGGAACTGTTGCAGAAGCCTTCATTAAACATGAAGAGAGGTTCGTGGATGATGCAAAGAAGGTACGAAAGTGGAGAGCTGCCTTAAAAAAAAGTAGCAAATCTCTCTGGGTGGAATTCAAAGGACTGGTACGTTACTCTTTCTTTTTTCTATTCAAAGGACTGGTATCTCTTCAGATATATATATATATCGTTGTAATATTGCTGTACTTAACAATAGATGATTTCCTTCTTGTTTCTTCAATATGTATGCTACAGTTCACATGGGACATAAGAAATTAGATGACCAGTTCCCAACTCAGTCTCATTACAGTAATAAAAACGAATAAGTACAATGCAGGATAGATATTGTGTAATTATTTAGCTTTGGCTTGATCAACTACTTTGACCAGCTTTCAGGTCCCATTGTAAAAGCATATCTCCATTTTGTTTCTTTATCTGCATTTGAAAACTGAAAACTAGTAAAAGTATATCTGCATTAGTTTATACTGATAATTTGAACAATTTTTGTTGTAGGTACGAATCAAAGCTCATCAAAGATATTGCTGAAATGTTACGGAGAAAATTACTGTTTAGTTCAGTGGAGAACCAACTAGTTGGAATTGATTCAAGATTGAAACCTATCAACTTCCTCTTCGGTGCAGGGGTGGATGATGTTCGCTTTGTTGGGATATGGGGAGTGGGCGGTATTGGTAAGACAACTATTGCTAGAGTTGTACATGAGAGAATATCTAATGAATTTGAATTTAGTATATTTATTGGCAATGTTAGAAATATTGTTGAAAAAGGTGGTCTTGTTAGCCTACAGAAGCAACTTCTTTCTGGGATATGGATGAAAAAGGATGATATATCAAACCTTCATGAAGGCGCCATGATCATAAGGAGGGTTTTATGTCAGAAAAAGGTTCTTCTCATTCTTGATGGTGTGAATCATTTGGAACAATTAGAAAGTGTGGCTGGAAATCATGAGTGATTTGGTTTTGGGAGTAGAGTTCTCATTACAACTAGAAATGAGCATTTGTTGATCAAACATGGAGTGGAGAGAAGATTTCAGGTAAAGGGACTAAAAAGTGAAGATGCTCTTCAACTGTTTAGTTGGAAAGCTTTTAAAAAGGATTACCCTGAAAAGTATTATCTTATTTTGTCTAATCGCATTGTGAGTTATGTCAAAGGTCATCCATTAGCTCTTGAGGTCTTGGGATCGTTCTTGCATGGAAGAGGTTTAAGTGAATGGAACAGTACGTTGGGAAAACTTGGAGTGTGCAACTTGGAAATTTTTGAGGCATTAAAAATTAGTTATGATGGTCTAGATGATAATGAGAAGAAAATGTTCCTGGACATTGCGTGTTTCTTTAACGGGAAGGACAGAGATTGAGTAATAGAAGCTTGTGATGTTTCTGCAGTAGTTATAGTAGAAGTCCTCATCGAGAGATCTCTTGTAAAGATTTTGGGTGGAAGGCTTTGGATGCATGATTCGCTCCAAGAAATGGGTCGGCAAATTGTACTCCGAGAATTTCCTGATGAGCCTGGCTGGTGCAGCAGGTTGTGGTTTCGTGAAGATGCCAATCATGTCTTGAGCAAAAATACTGTAAGAGATTAATTAGTACATGCACAAGAATAATTTGAGTTGTTATATGATAAAACAAGGTACTCTACTAACCCTTTTTTAACGTTAATTATGAGCTTCACTATTCCATGTTAATAGGGAACAGAGGCAATAGAAGGCATAGTTTTGCACCCATCTGATCCAGGGGTACAGGTGCATGCAAATGCTAAATCCTTTTCAAAGATGGTGAAACTAAGATACCTCAAGATTAGTAATGTGCGCCTTTATAATGGACTTGAAGATCTTCCCAATAGCTTACGCATTCTTAAATGGACGGGGTATCCTTTAACATATTTCCCATCACATTTCAACCCAGAGAAGCTACTAGAACTCAAAATGTGTCATAGTTGCATAAAACATTTTCGGATGGGAACAAAAGTATATATCCTTTTACTCATTTGATCTTTTATTACCTAGAAAAACTGTTCAATCAGGGAATCTAATTTTGCTATGCTTTTGAAATTTGACAGCCTTTACACAATTTGAAAACCATCAAACTCAGTCACTCTCTGAATCTTGTCAGCACGCCAAACTTTAAAGGTATGCCAAATCTTGAGGTTCTGATTCTTGAAGGTTGTACACGATTGTTTGAGGTTGATCCATCAATTCAAGTGCTGGAAAGACCTACTCTGCTGAACTTGAAAGATGGCAAAAACCTTGCCCATCTTCCAAGCAGTGTAGGTTGCTTAAAATCTCTCAAAGTTCTTAATCTTTTTGGTTGTTCAAGGATTAGTAATGTAGAGTGTTTGGAGAAGCTCGATGTGAGCGGAACTGCCATATCAGAACCACCCTCCAAACTTTATCTTTTGAAAAACCGTTACATTGAATTTATTTATTTATTTATTTATTTTTAATTAAAAAAAACTTTGGTTTTTAATGAATTAGGAAGGTGATGGTGGTCTCAAGTTGTCCTTTGGCTTTTTAGCTTTGTTTGGACTTTGATTCTCTGAATGTTTGGCTTTCAAGCTTCTGGACTCCATCTCGGTCTCCACACCATGCGTTGGTTTTGGTCTTCATCCACTCTGCTTTGTTATTGGCTTCACTTGCATCACCAATCCCATTAATTGGTGTGTGTGGGGTGACCTTATGATGCAAGTGAAGCCAATAACAAACAAGAGTGCCTTGTAGCCTTAGTCAATGTTCAAATCTGATTTGATATTTTGGTTTTGGGTGGAAGAATACTGTGATCTTTCTCTTAATATGGTCCATACGTACTGGAACAGAGCAATATCCAGAGTAGAAAAAAGAACAACTAGTTTTCTATTTTATTTTGTTTTTAATTTTCTGTGGATCAGAGCAGCACATGCTCTCAGTTGTAAGCTGTGCCGAGACAGAGTCAAAGTCTTAGTCAGAGAGCATTTGGAGGGATCAATTCACGTCGGTCAAGCTTTTCCCTGGAAGGTGTGCCTTCAGCAAGGTTTAGACTTTAAGATGACAAGCCCTTACCCTACTGGGCCACTTGCACTTCCTCCTCAACCATTGACTTCTTCACCAAATACCAGAGTTCTATTGAGCCACTCGCACTTGACATGTAATTTCATATTTTGGTTTTGGGTGGAAGAATCATCTGCTCAAATAATTGAGGTGGTATTTTGATCTTTCTCTTAATATGGTCCATCTTGGAACAGAGCAATATCCTGAGCAGAAAAAATAAATAAATAAAAGAGCAACTAGTTTTCATTTTATTTTGTTTTTATTTTCTTTGGATCAAAGCACACGTTGAGTTGTAAGTTGACAGAGTCAGAGAACATTTAGAGGAGAAACACTTACTAGCACTATTTTGCTATTCCCGACCAATCACGATATGCCATGCGTGATAACTTTTTCACGCGGCAGTTTATGGTTAGTTGGGGATAGCAAAATAGTATTATTTAATCTGATTCTTCTGAGTCATGTTATTGCTGATGATGAGGGCCGACACTTGTTGAGTTGTAAGTTGACAGAGTCAGAGAACATTTAGAGGAGAAACACTTACTTACTAGCACTATTTTGCTATTCCCGACCAATCACGATATGCCATGCATGATAACTTTTTCACGTGGCAGTCTATGATTAGCTGGGGATAGCAAAATAGTATTATCCATGTTCCATACGAGTTTTTCTGCATTTGAGAAGGAGGGATCACGTCAGTCAAAGTCTTCCATTTTTATTTAATCTGATTCTTCTGAGTCATGTTATTGCTGATGATGAGGGCCGACACTCACAAAATTTAACATGAAAATACTAAAAAAATTCCTATCAAGAGATTGTGATTGTTTAACAAAAAAATATATCAAGAGCTCCTCTTTGACTTTGAGTTGAGATTGAGTTAATACTTAATTTTTCTATTTCTTAGTCGTTTCTTAGTAGGTGACAGGATTAGATTAATACAAAGAAAAATTATAAAACACAACACGACTAGAAGCTCACATGTGCGGTGGCTGTAAGTTTGCGCGTTTGTGGAATTGCTATGACCTCGGGAACCCAAGCCAGGCCTTATCACATTTTGTTTACACACCTTAACTCTGTTATCTTCTTCGCCACAAACAGACTACGCACTAATCCTTCACTTCCTCAATGATCACCCAAATAGATATTCCTTCTTCCTCTTCATCTTCTTCTCCTCCGACCCCTCGATGGACATACGATGTGTTCCTCAGTTTCAGAGGAGAAGACACCCGCACAAATTTCACAGACTTTCTGTATACTTCTCTGATACAGAAAGGAATATTCACATTTAGAGATGATGAAGAACTTGAGAGGGGAAAGCCCATAGCTCCAAAACTCTTGAAAGCAATCGAAGCATCAAGATATGTCATTGTCATTCTTTCACGAAACTATGCCAATTCTACGTGGTGCTTGGATGAGCTTGTAAAGGCTGTTGAATGCATGAACCTGATGGGACAAACAATACTCCCAGTTTTCTATCATGTGGATCCATCTGATGTACGAAAACAGAAAGCGAATTTCGAGGAAGCCTTCTCTAAGCATGAAGCCTTTAAAGACGATACAAAGAGAGTGCAAAACTGGAGAGACGCACTTACTGAAGTTGCCAATCTCTCTGGATGGCATTTACAAGATGAGTAAGGACTGAAACTTTCTTCTTTTTCTTGTTTTTTTATTCATTTATTTATTTTTATAGACAATTATAATCCAGAGAGTAACTATGACCATAGAACTGTCAAAGTCTGGAAAATATAGAGAAAACAAGTGGAAAAAATAGGGAGAATGAGAACTTCCCGTAGGTTTTCTTATTTCATCTTGTTCATGCTTTGTATTACTTACAAGTTACAACACATTTATAATTACAAACTAGGAGACAAGGATCCCTAAGACAAGCATCCCTAAAACAATCCCTAAAACAAGGAGACAAACTTTCCCTAAAACATGGAGACAAGGACTTGTGTTCCACAAGATGACAAATAGCTAGTCACAAGCTAACAAGAACTGGTAAGTGAAACATTTGACCTATTGCCACTAGTACTACCATACAAAAAAACTAACAAAGAAAAAGCCACGGTTCTGGTTTTAAAGTATTTTGGGAACACTGGTTCTGAGTTAACTCATGCAATTCTGTGAAGCATTCCATTATTCATGCAATTCTGTGAAGCATTCCATTATCTTTGGAACCTCATTGCTGCTGCATGACTTACCATGGGATGGTTATTATTTTGCAGTTATGAATCAAAAGTTATTCAAGATATCGTAGGAAAGATTTTCACTGAATTAAATCAAACAATCTCAAGTGTATCCACAGATTTAGTTGGGATGGATTCTCGCGTGAAAGAAATGCTTTCTTGCTTAGACATGGGGCTGCATAAAGTTTGTGTCATAGGGATTTTGGGCATTGGGGGAATAGGTAAGACAACTGTTGCAAGAGTCGTTTACGAGAGGATATGTGCTCAGTTCGAAGATTGCAGCTTTCTTGCCAATGTTAGAGAGGTAACTGAAAAACAAGGCCTAGTTGATTTGCAAAAGCAACTTCTGTCAGATATCTTGCTGGAAAGTAATGTAAATGTACATAATATTTATAAGGGGATCAGTTTAATAAGGCAGAGACTACGTGCTAAAAAGGTTCTTATCATTCTTGATGATGTCGATACGCTGGAACAACTGGAAGCATTATGTCATCATAGTTGGTTTGGTTCAGGGAGTAGAATTATCATAACATCAAGAGATGAACATTTGTTGAGCACATTTGGAGTGAATAAAATGTATAAGGTTAAGGAATTAAATAATTCTGAAGCTCTTAAACTCCTTAGTCAGAAAGCCTTTAAAAAAGAGCAAGTCGGAGAAGGTTATCTCAAGCTGTCTAAGAATGTCGTTGAATACGCCAGTGGCCTTCCATTGGCTCTTACAGTTATGGGTTCATTCCTTTTCGGTAAAAGCATTAAAGAATGGTCAAGTGCATTGCATAGACTAAAAGAAAATCCTGAGAAAGGAATTATTGATGTGCTTAAAGTAAGCTTTGACGCATTACAAGTCACAGAGAAAAAGGTATTTCTGGACATTGCATGTTTCTTTAAAGGGGAGGACAAAGATCGTGTAGCAAAAATACTAGAAAGTGGTTGTGGATACAGTCCAGACATTGATATAAAAGTTCTCATAGAAAAATCTCTAATAACTCTATTTGGAAAAAAATTGTGCATGCATGATTTGATACAAGAATTGGGTTGGGAAATTGTTCGTCAAGAATGTCGTGAAGATCCAGGAAAACGTAGCAGGTTGTGGCTTCCCAAGGATATCATCCCCGTACTTGCAAAAAATAAGGTTAGAAACTAATACAAGTACAGTTGTTAAAACGAATTATTAATGTCCTGCGTATAACTTATTTCTTCTTCCTTTTTATTAGGGAACAGATACAATTGAAGGTATATTCCTCAACTTGCTGAAACAAGAGGAGATTCACTTGAATGCTGATTCCTTCTCAAAGATGTCCAACCTAAGATTGCTCAGAATTTGTAATGTGGCCTCTCCTAGATCCATTGAATATCTTTCTAATGAGTTACAACTTTTGGAATGGCATGCATGTCCTTTAGATTCTTTGCCGTCAAACTTTCAATCAGATAAGCTTGTTGAACTCAAAATGCATTCGAGCCGTGTCAAACAGCTGTGGAATGGAAATGAAGTAAGATTATATTCTTATGCATGTTTATATTATTTATGTATCAACCAAATGTTTGTTCTAATTCATATGATTATTTTTCAAATATTATCAGAGCTGGAGCATGCTAAAGTGCATCGATCTGAGTGATTCCCAATACTTGATCAAAACCCCAAACTTCACTAAGGCTCCAAATATTGAGATGTTGGTGCTTCAAGGCTGTTCAAGATTGGTTGATGTTCACCCATCCATGGGAATTCTCAAACAGCTTATCTTGCTGAATATGAGAAACTGCAAATCTGTAAAGACTCTTCCTCCTTTCATTAGTTTGGAATCTCTTCAAAGTTTAACTCTCTCTGCTTGTTCAAGACTCAAGAGGTTTCCTGAAATTCAAGGAGATATGAAAACCTTGTTGGAGCTCTATTTAGATGGGACTGCTATAGAGGAATTACCTTCATCGATTGAACGTTTGACAGGTCTTGCTTTGTTGAATTTAGGAAACTGCAAAAACCTTTTCCATATCCCAAGTACCATCCAATGTTTGACATCTCTGAAAAGTCTCATTCTAACTGGTTGCTCAGAACTTCATGACATACCTGAGAATCTGAATTGTGTGGAATATCTTGAGGAGCTTGATATAAGTGGAACTGCTATAAGAAAATCATGGTTTGTTGTAGGTATGAAGAATCTAAAGTATCTATCATTCCAAGGATGTAAAGATCAACCTTCAAAATCATGGCATTCCCTGATCTTTAATGGTTGCTGGTGTAGAGAGGAAGTTCCCACGCGTTTGTTGTTGCCTAATTCATTCTCAAGTTTAACTTCTTTAGCAGAGCTGGACTTAAGTGATTGCAGTCTGATGGATGGAGAGATTCCCAACGATATTGGAGGCTTATTCTCCTTAAAAAAATTAAATTTAAGTGGTAGTAATTTTGTTTGCTTACCAGAAAGCATCTCTCAACTCTCGAAGCTTGAAGATCTCAAGTTGATCAGTTGTCGTAAGCTAAAATCTCTGCCTAAGAAGCTTCCATTAAGTATTCGACACGTGAATGCAGATGATTGTACATCACTGATAGATTTCCCAAATAAATTAAAAGTATGGACTTCAGCTGTTTCGGGAGTGACTACTATCAGTTCCTTCATTTCATCCAAGAATCAAGAGTGTTCTACTTCAGAGAGAGAGTGGAAGTATGGCAAGATTTGGACTCCAACAACTGTCACAGGATGTAGTACCATTGGTTTCGTCAAATCAGATGAGCATCAAGAATGGAAACAAGTTGATGGATTTGTACTGCCAACTCAATTGTTGAAAAAAGACATAGAGGTCTCTCTCTCTCTCTCTCTCTCTCTCTCTCTCTCTCTCTCAAGTTGATGGATTTGTACTGCCAACTCAATTGTTTGAAACAGACCTTCAGTATATGATCTGTCTCTTCCATATTTAATTAATTAACCCTTTGTGTTTTACGTGACAGCTATTGGATTTAAGGTCATGTACCTTACAGTCTGGCACTCCTCAAAGTGAAATTCCAGAGTTTTTCAGCCATATAGTGAATGGGGGAAACATAGAAATCCCGATATATGCGAATATGAAGAATGATAGGA